CTCTCTCTGTGTCTTTGTGTCTTTCTCCCTCTGTCTCTGTGTGTGTGTGTCTGTCTCTCTCTCTCTCTCCCTCTGTCTCTCTCTCTGTCTCTCTCTCTCTGTCTCTCTCTCTGTTTCTCTCTCTGTCTCTCTGTCTCTCACTGTCTGTCTTTCTCTGTCTCTCCCTGTGTGTCTCTGTGTCTCTCTCCCTCTGTCTCTGTGTGTGTGTGTGTGTGTCTTTCTCTCTCTCCCTCTCTTTCCCTCTGTCTCTCTCTCTCTGTCTCTCACTGTCTCTCTGTCTCTCTCTGTGTCTGTTTGTGTGGTGTCTGTCTGTCTCTCTGTCTCTGTCTCTCTGTCTGTCTCTATCTGTCTGTCTCTCTCTCTCTCTGTGTCTCTCTCTCTCTGTATGTGTGTGTCTCCCTCTCTCTGTCTCTCTCCCTCTGTGTGTCTGTCTCTGTGCCTGTCTCTCTCTTTGTCTCTCTCTCTGTCTCTCTCTGTGTGTGTCTCTCTGTCTCTCTGTCTGTCTCTCTGTCTCTGTCTCTCTGTCTCTCTGTGTGTGTGTGTCTCTCTCTCTCTCTTCGTCTCTGTCTCCCGCCCTCCATCCATCCCCTGGGCTCTAAAGAGAAGCTGGAAATACTTCATGTAGCCTTTACCTGTCACCCCACTTCCCAGAAATGTTTCAACCTGGAGATTAAGGAGAAAATAGCCATAGGGAAGATGGAATTGGAGTGTGAAGGCCAAGTGGAAATGATTTTTGGAGACAGGAGGGAGAGACACAGCTTAGACAACAGTCTGATGAATGAAATTTAAGTCCAAGGGAGGAAGAGTAGTGAAAGCATCCCAAGAGGGACCCTCCCTAATTTGGGAGAGAATAAAGCTGTAGGAAGGAAGAGATACTTTCAGGCGTGATGGGTCAGCAGGGCCTGGAAAATATGCAGACTTTGCAGATATTTGGGGGGAGGAAGAGGCAGCTACAATACCCCCCTTCCCCATACCAAAACCTGTGACTGCAACGTTAACTTGAAGCCAGGAGCCCAAAACCCAGCAAAGAGACGGCATCCCATGTCTGGCCGCTAGTTAGCCATCCCGAGTCAAGGAGTATCTGGATGTCAATATCTAAATCAGGTTCATTTGCCCTTCCAACTCATCAGTATCTGAGCCCAAGTTTTTCACCCTCCAAACACAAGGACGGCAAACAACACCGCTCTAAAGGAAGCCTACATGCCTGTCATTCATGACCACGAAGATCCAAGCAATTGGGTGACCATCGGGGACTATTATCCCCACCCACTTATCTCAAATCTACTAGACTGGCCAACCAAAGGCATGCCTCTTTTCACAACTAGAGCGGAGAAGGATTTGCAACCTAATCAGAATGGAAGAGGACACCAACATTTAACAGCCTAGGAAACAAGATAAAGCAAGTTTGAATACACAGCAATATCTTTTGGTCTGGTTAACCGTGGAACTGTTTCATGAATGACATACAGTAAATAAACGTTAAAAATTGCTGGCTTTACTTCTTATGGATTTTCTCTTCCGGGTCTTGAGCACAAAATGCCTTCACCTCAAAATCCACACCACAGGACTGCGGGAGACACAAGAGCAGAGGTTACAAGTTGATGAAGTGCCTTTATTGTGCCTTTATTTACAATGATCATTGAGAAAGTTTAAAAGAGGAATTTTAGCCTCTTGAAGTGTCTTGAAATGTCGTAGAGCATTTATTCCAGGTTGCCATTGACGTAATGTAAACTGAGTCATAGGAAGACGAAAAGCAGTGGCCGATAGGCTAATCCCCAGGTGAGATTCCTGCATTACATCTACGGAGATTCTGAGTCATTCAGGTCATGGCTGCCCCAAAGGTGTATTTTCAAAAAGCACCTGGCCTTTGCCCAGTGCTACAGCTAGGGAGTGAGTCAGCCTGAGAAAGAGAGACTTGGGGCTTCCAAGATTGAGGAGGCCCCCAGGGGTCCCTGAATTCACTCTTGTCACTACGGCTGGCCCTCGGCTTGGCTGGCACCCTCCTCTACGGAGTAGAAGAGTGAAATCCACACACAGAGCTGCCACCCACCTTTCCAGAGTCATCAGCTCCTGGCTGAAGTGTGATTGAACAGGGCAGATTGGTCGCCATCTATGGGAAGAAAAAAACCAAAGGTAATAACCATCCTGAAGAGAGTTCCAGAAATGAGGACACACACAGCTTCTCCCTTCCCGAAAGTCCAAAAAGTACCATGTCTTCAGCAAAGTCCCCGAGCGATGGCGGAGGAGAGAGAGTCCCCTAGGCCAGGGGTCTCCAACCTTGGCAACCTGGCCAGCTGGGGAATTCTGGGAGTTGAAGTCCTCCAGGCTTAAAGTTGCCCAGGTTGGAGACCCCTGGCCAAGGCAACACAATCATAGTCGGGGTAAGGGGAGTAAAAGATTGTGGGAGTCATTGGAGGGGTGGCGTTTTTTCTTTACTTTTTAAATTTAAAGGTTACTATTTGATAAAATAGAAATAAAAATTGAAAAATAGCAATAGCATTTAGACTTATATAACTCTTCACAGTGCTTTACAACGTCTCTAAGCAGTTTACAGAGTCAGCCTGCTGCCCCCAACAATTTGGGTCCTCATTTTCCGACCAGGGAAGGATGGAAGGCTGAGTGAACCTTAAGCAGATCAGAGGTTTTTTTTTTAGGTCTGTTATTAAGTTATAATATGATATACGAAGAGAATACAAAAGCAAATATTAGGGAAATAGGGAAAGAAAAAGGGAAGTGGATCAGGGATAGGATGTAAATATTTTTACCACTGGTTCTGTGGGCGTGTCTAGGTGGGAGTGTCTAGGTGGGCGTGGCCATGTGATTGGGTGGGCGAGGCTTCTTCTTGTTTTTGCAGCACCCGCCTACCCCGCGCTCCATTTTTTTGCCTCCTGGGCCTCAGGGAAGCCTCCTGGGCGAAGCAGGGAGGGGGATCTCAGAACAGCTGATTGTCAGAACAGCTGATTGTCAGCAGGGGGAAAAAAAGAAATACCAGTTTGGCCAAACTTGCAGCTGTTTTTTTACTACCGGTTCACTTGAACCGGGCCGAACCGGTAGAATGCCACCATTGAAGTGGATAGTGGGGGAAAGCAAGGAAAAAAGAGGGGACAAAGGCATTGACCTCTGACTCCTTTGGTGCAGTAAAATAAGGCATTAACACCTACCCTCAACTTTTTACTTTTTCATAATAATAGAAACTAGCCATTTCTATAACAACAGAGCCAATCAGAATTGAACACCTGACTGTGTGCAGAGTCAGCCTGCAATTCTGCATTCTAATCACTGTGCCATTAGAACTCCTAAAAACTAACGCCTAAAAAGTCAGAAAGAAGAGAAGAGTCGAAAGAACTGAAGGAAGAAAAAGCTAGTGACTTCTGACTTTTTCCTGTGCAGTAGAATACCAAAAAAAAAACAACAACCCAGTTACAACCTCAGTCTTTTGCTTTACATTGGAGGAATTTGTGTTGATGGGGTTGTGAACAGGCTCCACAGCCACATCTTAGAAGCTTCTGGAGCCACATGTATGGCCATACATGCAACCACTGCACTGTGGGAAAGAAAGGGGGAAGGAGAAAGGGGAAGAGGGCAGTGGTGGGATTCAAAGATTTTACCACCAATTTGGTGGGCATGGCTTGGTGGGCGTGGCTTGGTGGGCATGCTTTGTGCTTGGTGGGCGTGCTTGGTGGGCGTGGCTTGGTGGGCGTGCCAAATGCACACTTTGTGCAGGCGCAGAGGCATTCCAACTCACCTCCTGCAAGCCTGCACGATCCCGGTCACTTCAGCAGCTGCCGCGCAGCAATTGCTGTGCTACACAAAGAAGCTGCGCTTCAAAAGCAGGGAATAAAGGTGAGTATGGGAGCCCAGGTGGGCAGGTGGGCCCAACAGTAGAGTGGTGGGGAGAACCGGTTCAGTCTCTGCTGCTCATCGGCGCTACCGGCTCGGCAAAGCCGGGCTGAACCAGTAGAATACCACCACTGGAAGGGGGAAGGGAGAAGGGAAAGCCTCACGAATCACTGGATACCTCAAAGGTGAAGGGGTAAGCATGTTCTCCTAACTTCTTCATCAGCTTCTCCTGTAAGGGTGTGAGGGTCTTCGGAGACTGGTCTGGCACTGGTGGGTAAAGTTGAGTTGTGAGGAGATAGAGATCCTTCCTGAAGGTCAACCCAATGACATCCAGGTCATCCCGACCATACCGGAATGCACATGTGAGGGTCACATAGACTGGACCGTCAGAGGATGGAGGATGAGGGAAAAAGAGAGAGAGAGAAACACAAGAGAGTGCTTGTAAGCAGGTTTAGGTGGAGAGGCGGAGGAAAGAACACAATTACCCTTAGTTCAGAATAAAAAGTTCCCCAATCAATGTAGTTAAGTTAATTTCATTTCGGAGACCAGCAATACTACACATAGTAAAAATCAGAAAACAGGGAGTTTTTTTCCCCCATGATGTGTCATGTTTGGAAGATTGGGGGTCCCAGAATGGATCACAGATTTAAGACCTACATGAAGCCACTGGGTTGGGTTTATTCATTGCTATCAGGATGATGATATTCAATTATATCTATCTATCTATCTATCTATCTATCTATCTATCTATCTATCTGTCTGTCTGTCTGTCACTGGAGATATGCTGGCTATGCCATTTATGTCGGGTTCTAGTCCCTGGGGATGCGGGGGGCGGTGGAGGTTCTGGATGGGAAAGAGGTTTCAATTGAAAGTGGAGAGATTCTTTGTTTTGGGGCCTTCTGGATCTTTGTTGTCTTTGGTAGCAAATACCAAATATTTAGGCCATGTGTAACCGACAGATTGGATGCCAAATTGTGATTTTAATATAGATTTCATTTGTTATTTATTATTTTATTCTAAATTTTTAACTGGATATTCCTTGAGTGTTTTTACTTGTTCTGGCCTCTGTCTGTAATAAACTTGATTTGATTTGATACCCAGTATCTTTGGTATTGGATGTTAGATGTCCCTCAGACTGGCAAACCAGACAACTGGATGAATTAATTCTACTTTATCATAGGGCTACACTAACACAGCCTTGCAACTATGAAGATTCAAACTTCCCACACCTAATTTTAACCGTCTGATCCATCAGGGAGGATCTTTCCCTGACCATTAAGTGACTGAGGGCTCCTGGTTCTCTTGACCGGTTGTCTCCTAGGCAGCATCTCTTCTCCTCATCCCTCAAGGTCATCCATACAGTCCATTACACAGACAAACCTGGTACACAATCTGGGGGTCCCAATTAAGAAGAATATTTGTAGCTCAGGGTTGAAATGAGCCTGCTTGTTTCATGACCCAACTAGGTAACATCAGCAGTGCTGGTAAGGACTACCGTTTGCTCTCAATTTAAATTCTGGTGACTTGCCAGTCTGTGTGGGTGGGAAGCCATCTTAGAGATTCTTTGGTTGGGCTGTTTACTGATGGCTCTTTGGCAGTTTCTTGATTGGGGTGTTGCCTACTTGATGGTCCTGTGAAGTTGACCTTGGAGTTAATCTAGGCTGATCTGGTTACCAATTCCTGGTGGAGAGGTGCTGGAGTTTTTTTTTTTTTCTTTTGGGCTGGTTGATTGTCTCTTTTGCCCAGTCTATAGAGGCTGTTAATGTCTCTGTGTCTATTGGCGGCTGATTTGGGGGGTCCAATCTGGGGGTCCTTGTGAGAGGGTCCTCACAACTCCTGCTTGAGGAGCAAGTGACAGTTGTGGCTAAGAGGGCCTTGCACAGTTTCACGCTGTGCACCAGTTATGCTCTTCCCTGTGCCGTGAGGCTCAGTGGTTCGTGCCCTGATCACCTTTGGGATGGATTACTCTAATGTGGTCCACATGGGGTTGCCCTTGAAGAATCACTGGAAGTTTCAACTGGTGCTGGGTACAGCTGCATGGACAGCTCCGTGGTTGTTATTCTCTTGCAATCTTGCCAATTGAGCATTTTATTAAGTTTATTGTTTTATTATGTTTATTGCGAGGTGGGTGGCCACATCAATTTGCTAAATAAATAAATCACATTTCTGAAAAGGGCTGAGAGAAAAAGAAACAAGAAAAGTACCTTTCCTGTCACTCACGGTTTCAGGGTCTAGCGAAACAACTCCATCTAGAAATAAAAATATAACAGAACCAGATTTTTTAAAAAAACAGACCAAAAAAACCATCATGAAGTTGATGCAAAGGGCTGTCTAGTTTCTCTCCAGGCACAGCAATAAAACTCCAAAACCAATCTCCAGGTTTTGCAGAGAAAGTTGAGGATCCTTGGAGCCCAGATGTTGTTGCCATCTATTCCAGGGGTCTCCAACCTTGGCAACTTTAAGCCTGGCAGACTTCAACACCCAGAATTCTGGGAGTTGAAGTCTGCCAGGCTTAAAGTTGCCAAGGTTGGAGATCCCTGATCTATTCCTCCTGTTGAAGGCAGAAGTCCAACAAGAAGAAAGGAGAACAAAGCAAGTGCAATTCTGATTGCAAGTAACAGATGGTTGATTACAAGCTTTAAGGGGAAGATGACTACGTCAATCTCACTAAGGAGGGGAAAAGTATCATCTGAAAGTATTGTGACCTGGTTAGGAGGGCTTCATTTGGTGTGAAGGAGAGGAGTCCTAACATTGTTGGTATTGCAAAGAATGAATTGAATACAGCAGCAAAGCCCTGGGTTTGGCAAAGTATGAGTTTAACAAAGGCAGAATGGAAATATGGGCTCGAAGGAAAAGAGAGGCTAAACACAGGGGCCCTGACCTATTATTTTAAATGACTCTATAATGAATTCACAAGCAAGATAAGCAAACATCATAAGGGCCAAAAGCAAGAATGAACAAGTTGGGATGCCAGAACCTGATGGGAACATTGGAATTGATGGGAACAGGGAGAGACAACACAATAGAGAAGGTGTGATAACAGTGTTATCTATCAGAGATAAAAAGAAATTGAAGAGAAAAATGTGAAGGATTTAGGCCATGGATGTCCAACCTTTTGATTTACCTGGACTCCACTGAGTGAAGAGGAATTTTCTTGTGCTACATATAAAATATATAATATAATTAATGTATATAAATAACAAACTTCCTTTATTTTTTATTACATTTCATGGAGGCACATTACTACCTATCAAGGGACACGTCAAGAAGCAAGTTTAACCATTCAAACAATAAAACGAGAAATTCCTGCAGGAAGAAGAAGGAAGAAACTGTAATTGAACTGACACATTAAGGAACAATTACTCCCAAAAAAAGAAATTAATTCCATTTCCTCCCCCTGGAATAAAGTGCAGTCATCTGAGAAGGGACAACATCAAGTGTAACATGAAGAAAAGTAGACCAAATCTTCCCCTCCCCCTCCAAAAAAGGGGTCTCTTGGTGACAGGAGACTCACTACTCAAAGAAACGGAATTAAACTGCATTATTTTATACAACTATAGGTAATCCTCAATTTAAAACACTTCATTTAGTGACCATTCGAAATTACAACTTCACTGAAAAAGGGGACTTTTATGATCATCGCAACATCTCCTGTGCTCATGTGATTTACATTCAGATGCTTGACAACTGACTCACATTTATGATGGTTGCAGTGTCCTGGGACCTTTAGAGCAGGGGTCTCCAATCTTGGCAACTTTAAGACTTGTGGACTTCAACTCCCAGAATTCCACAAGTCTTAAAGTGGCCAAGGTTGGAGATCCCTGCTTTAGAGACCTTCTGATAAGCAAAGTCAATTGTTCTGACCAAGGCTTCCTGAGACCGTAATTAAGCACACACTGCCTAAACAACTCTTGTTTTATTTCAGTGCTGGGAATTATGTGCATTCCCAGCCCGTAATGAGTCCCAAACAGTCCCTCGAAATAAGCACCCACCTTTCTCTCCTCTGAATTGCTGCCAACAACTAAAGTGCCAAATTAACTGTAAAAAAAACAACAACAACCGAAGTACAAAGTCCACACAGAGCTTCAAGGATTAATCCAAACAGAGCGAACGACTTTGCTTCCTGCAAAGGCTTCTCTACCTTTGCACCTCCTTTATACCTTAGGGGCAATCACCTCCCAGCCTTACTCCCGAGTCGCCCCTTTTGTTTCAGCTGCTCTCGCCTTCTAGCAGCTCTGTGCACACATGCACTGGGAACAGACTCCCCTTGTTCCTCTGCCTTGCTGCTGCCAGACTCCAGAGGCTCCCAGGTGGTCCTGGCCCCATCTCTGAATCAGATGCAGGACCCTCATCTGAGTCCTCCCCAGACTCCCGGACTGGTCCCTGTTCTTCCCCACTGTCCAATTCCACTGCCATCTGCACAGGCTGCCGCCGAACCATAACATCAATGAGGAAGACAGATTCACTTAACAACCATGTTACTAATTTAACAACAGCAGTGATTCACTTAACAAATGTGGCAACAAAAGTCATAAAATGGGGCAAAACTCACTTAACAAATGTCTCACTTAGCAACATAAATTTGGGGCTCCATTCTGGTCATAAGTCGAGGCCTACCTGTACTGCTTTTATGATAAGGTTACAGAAACAGGCTCTTACACGTCTGACTATTCCTCTTCCCACCCTGCCATTCCAGAAAGCAACGGGGGCTCAGTCCTGGGAGGCTCACCCAGAATTCCTTCTTGCTTTGGACTCCGCTTTCGTTTATCCGACTGTTTTCTAGGCTGTGGCTCTTCCTCTCTCAAGGTTACTCACATAGCCCCTTACATGACAGTTTATCCTTATTGAGGCACTATCCTGACTCTGGACCTCCATGCTGTGGGTATCTTGTTACCACCTCTAAGGAACCCTCTGGGCTGTAGGTACAATATAATCATCAGCACAAGGTAGCTTATCTTCTTCAGTTGCAAATTTAATCCCTGGAACTGTTTTATTACCTTTTTTGCCAATGGCTGTGATGCCAATAAAAATAAGAAAGGGGAGGGAGAGGATAGGGAAGGTTTGGCCTCTTTGTCCATTTTTGTGATTCAAAAGATCATATATTATGACCTTCTTTATAAGTATTTTGTATCCATGTAAAATGTTAGAGACACAATTCATCTTTTCCGAAGTCTTAAGCATCAAAGATAATTCCAGGTTATCAAAAGCTTTCTCCACAGCCAGAAAGATTATGGTTCCCTTCTTGTTGTTCTGATTTATATTATCAGTGAATTTCAAAATATATCTGATATTGTCTCTCAAATATTGCTTCAGGGCAAGTCAAATCTAGTCAGGATGTATTAATTCACTTAAAAATCCATTTGTTTTCTTTGCAAGTAAAAGATGTCTGGCCCATATTTATGTCAAATGCCAAATAAATTCTTGAATGTGAGTGTGGGAAACCCTGTCAAGAATCAAGATTCATTATTATAGCCTATATTAGTAAACTAGAGTTCTAGCTATTTTTTTGTATTTGTTTTCTGACTTGACCTACTTTTAAAGGTCTGACACAAACATGGATTTTAGAAAGTTTAATTTTAACAAGATGGATAGTAAGAAGATACCATGGGAACAATTCTGTTTATGTAAAGCACCACAAAGAGCAAACAAAGAGTACAGTCACCATGTGCTTTACTGCTCAGCTATATAATTCTAACAGGAAACAGGAAACTCTATTCAGAACAAAAGAGCATAGACAATAGAGTATATACCATTGAGCCAAAGTTGTAACACTGCCATCTACTGGTTGAATACTACTCTAGTTGTTGCATAGAAATACATTCCCACAATGAATTCCAACAGTTACATTATAGCAAACTGAGAATACTTGAAAAACAATTTAAGGATTGTTTGAAACATATGAGTGAGGAAGAAAATTGGGAAACTGTATTTGAAGAGCCAGCTCACAAAGGGATTAAGACTAAGGAAGGGTGCTTATTTTAAACGGATGAAACAGATATAAACCACCAAGCAGGCCTACCAAGCATTAGCTCAGAATATAGGGCAAAGGTAGAAAATGAGCTAAGGCTAGTAAAAGAGGCAGAGAGGCAACAAGAAGAAAGGAAGAGAAACAAAAGAAAGGACAGCATGGTAAAAAAAAAAAAAAGGTGAGACCCTAGAAAATGTGCAGAGAAGATGCAACAAAGATAATAAGGCTTCTGGAGCTTAAATCATACGATGAATGGTTGAGAGAACTAGGTATGTCAAGCCTAATGAAGAGAAGGACTGGGGGTGACATGATAGCTGTCCTCTAGTTTTGAGGGGCTGTCACAGAGAAGAGAGGGTCAACTTATTCTCCAAGGCACCAGAGGGCAGGACAAGAAGTAATGTGTGGAAACTTATCAAAGAGCACTCCAACCTAGAACTACGGAGACATTCTCTGACAGTGGGAACAATTAATCAATTGCTTGCCTCCTGGAATTGTAGGTGCTCCATGGCTGGAGGTTTTCAAGAATAGACTGGACAACCATTTGAGTGGGATGGTAATAAAAGTTAATGCCTTGAACAGGGGCTTGGACTAGAAGACCTCTTAGGTTCCTTCTGGCCCTATGATTCTGTATTCTAAGAATTGTTTCCCCAAATATATCAAGAAGAGGAAGACAAAGGAAGAGATTGGCTCATTTATTACACCAAATGGAGAAAATCCCAGTAAACCTAATGTTCTTGGAAACTCATAAAGTATTATTTAATCTTTTTATTAATGAGCCAGGGTTGATGGATTAGACATAGACATAGACATAGAATGACAGGGATCTTGGAGGTCCACAGGGGTCTCCAACCTTGGCAACTTTAAGACTTGTGGACTTCAACGCCCAGAATTTCTCCTCCAGTCATGTTAACTCAGGAATTCTGGGCGTTGAAGTCTACAAGTCTTAAAGTTGCCAAGTTTGAAGACCCTTGCTATACCATTTCAAACAAACAGATGTCCAGTCTCCTCTTAAAAGCCTCCGGTGATGGAGCAGCCACAACTTCCAGAGGCAAACCATTCCACGGCTTAATTGTTCTCGCTGTCAGGAAATTTCTCCTTAGTTCTGGTTGTTTCTCTCCTTGATTAATTTCAATCCATTGCTTCTCGTTCTGCCTTCTGGTGCTTTGGAGAAAAGGGTGACCCCCTCTTCTTTCTGTCAGCCCCTCAAATATTAGAACACTGCCATCATTTCTCTCCTAGTTCTTCTTTTCACTAGACTAGACATCATGCGGGGCCATTCTTCTAGGGGGATTTTGATAAGAAAGCAATTAGACAAGGTTATATATTGGCCTCTTTAAAGTTCAGCCAATCCTCGTTTTAGCTTAGTTTGGCACATCAAACTTACAGCAACTCTACGTTAATGGTGTTCCAAAGTGAAAGTACAGAATGGCTGGCAGGGACTCTGGTTCATTTGAGATGAGCCTTGTGTTGTCTTACAGAGTTTTGTAAAAGATTAATCACAATCGTCAGAACAAGATGACATTTTTTGCAAAGTGTTGACAGATGGAAACCGAAAGGGCTGAGCTAAACCCTCCAGTTTCCAACTGGCCAGAGTTGTTGTTCTGGCTAGTGAAACAGCTACATAAAATGCAGCACAACAATGGCCATGTCTGACTTTTGAAGCAACAAAACAAAGTCTCTATCAATAGAAGAAATATTCAACATTTACTGTATTTAACCTTCGAAACTGAACCAAAGGCAGACCTAAAATCTACATTTGACTGTGCATGTTTTGGAACCAAAATAGTAATATCAGGGTTTAGTCTATTGGTCAACAACTTATCCTAAATCCAACCCATTGATCTGTTAGTATAGGTTCTATCTCAAACCAATCCAGTAACTCAATGTTTCTCAACCTTGGCAACTTTAAGCTATGTGGACTTCAACTCCCAGAATTCCCTAGCCAGCATGGCAACTTTAAGAGGGGTGGA